TCAATCTTTAGCTTTCTAAGGACCCTCCAGACTACTTCCATTGACTTTTAACAAAGGCACAAAGACAGTGAGAGGGGCGAAAACTTTCCAACAGTTGTGCTAGGAAAAACAAATTTCCTTACACAATAAAACCCTCATTTCATAGGTATTACTCTCTTAAGATAATTCAAAATAGTCATAGGAATTAATGTTTGCCTGAGTCCTCATGACCTCATCCTCTGTGGAGTTAAAGAAGTCCAGAATAGAAATAAGAAGCATGTACAGAAGGATTGAAGGGCTGTCAAGTTGCATCTAGGAAAACCATTTGAAGCCAATGCAGGACTTATTCCTGAAGCTGTGGTTGAAATAAGAGTTGGAGCTGAGAGAACTTAGTGTAGGATACCAAACATTAGTTGTCAAACGCTAGCCTTTTCTGTCAAGGAATGTTTTACTGATTTGGATGTTGAGTATTTCACCCAAGCATTTTGGTATTATACTTGTCAGTATAATCATTATATTGTACATTATTATTATACTTATAATTCTTGGTTTTATACTTTTGAATCACTGTGACCAAAAAAACCTAACATAGCAACTAAGATTTATTTATTTTCAGAGATTTCAGTTTGATCATCATTTGGTTCTATGTTTGTGGGACTGTGGTTGGGTAATGCACCTCGGTAGAAGGTCAAGAGAGAGTAAAACAGCTTGTAGGAAGAAATGGAAGAATGAGAGAGAAAGGGGAGGGAGAGGAAGGGAGGGAAGGAGAGAGGGAAAGAAAAGGAAGGGTGAAGGAAGAGAGAGAGAGAAAGAGAGAGAGAGAGAAAGTTGGACTAGGACAAGGCTGTGTAAGGGCCTGCTCCCAGGGACCTCCTCCTTCTGACTGTGCCCTACCTATGAAACCTCCTTGCTCCCACCACCTCCCAATAACATCACCAAATTATAAATCTATCAATTGATCATCCCATTGATTAAATCAGAGCCATCACAATCTAATCACTCCCCCAGTGCCTTAGCTCTGCACACTTTGTTGAGGACAAAGCCTTCCATATGTGAGATATACAGTGATATTTCACATTCACACCACACACACACACACACACACACACACACACACACACACACACACACATAAATGTATATCTTGAGGGTGGTGGGGAGAAGAAGGGAGAGAGAGACATAGGTAATGGGAAGGTAGTATAGTGGTGGTGATAGTGAGTTCTTCCCAGACAAGCAATGAGGTGAAAGTAACTAAATGTGTGGGAATTCTGTTATTGGGTTTCTTTTTCTGTCTTCACCCAAAGAAGAGTGGACCATGAGCTGAGGGAATTCTCTTACTTCTGCCCTTTCCATGCATTGGCATATATACAAAATTAGATCATAGAAAGCTGACTTCTGTTAACAGTATAGGCTGGTGTACAAGGGAGGCATGCAGTATTAAGAGACTATGACTTGGAAATCTTTTTTAAAAAAGAGATTTCTATGGTGGTACTCTAATTCAAAACATCTCATGATTTCATGTAAGCTTTTATATTGCTATGATATTTCAAACCATTCACTGCTTTACTGATTTCTTTTAACATTGTTTAAACCATCCTTCTCAACCTTACCCCACCGTAACTATACTCCAGCTGCAGAATGCACCAACAATGCACGAATTCAATGAGTAAGGATGCATCTATGAGCTGCTGTCTATGTCTGTTGCCTTCTAACGAATAGTGAGTTATGGTGAAAAATCTAATAAGTCACTGCTGCAGGACTCAAGGAAGATTTGTCCTAGAGAGGTCTTGGGAAATTGTCTTTAATAAGTCACACTAGGTTCTGGACTCCTCTGGGAGAAGGTTCCCTTAGGCCCAGGGATGAATAGAATGAGAGTAGCAGGAGTGGTGAACAGATTATGACCACAGAGACTGTTATTTTTCATGCTTATAATGAATAAAAGGAGCACAACTTAGGCTGGGGCTCTGGAGTCATTCTCAGACATCCAAGGTGGGTTAAGTATGATGGTAATGATCTAACCTTCAATGACCTTCAACACAAAGTCTAATTTCCCCATATTGTATTATAGTTTGCAAGATATTTAGATGTGATAACCTCTGTATACTATACTTCTTTTCCTCTCAAGTTTTTCCAACATCTTATAAGTATATTGTCTACTGTTTGCCATTTGTATTTGTTAAAGAAGCATTCATTAACATCACTGAACACCATGTTCATGCAAGATGATGTCACTTCCATGTAATGACAGCTCTGTGAGTGAGGTAGGCATTAATGAGGTAGCTCTTAAACTTTGTTTTCTTTTAAAATAATCCGTATCACTTTAGAAAATTGGACGCGTCTCTTCTCACTTTTGCTTTGATTTTGATGAGAATTACTCATCTGTAATTTAAAGGCGGTGTATGTCCTTGTTGCTTCAACTCAGGGCATTTACTGTAATATCAGCTTTATTTAGATGTCAAATTGTAAAAATCTAAACAATAGAATCAGAACTGATATTTTAACAGACTTTCCAACTGATTCACATTTACAGTAAATCTTAGAAGCTCTGTCCCTGTGAATTCTTCTGTGTACTGCAGGCTGAGAACTTCTAGGCTCTTGGGTCAGGGAGCTAGGAAGCTCATTTCCTTCTCAGCATAGCATCTGCAGGCGAGGATTCTAGTTTGTGACTCCCGGTGAAACTCTGGACACCAGAGTTGCGGGGTCTCCGCAGGTATGAGGCAAGCGAACTGAGAAGCTAGGTGTATTATTTTCAGGAGACATTTTTCCAAGAGTAGTGGGAGCAGAGAATTTTCAAGTGCACCATTGATACCCCTGAATTAAACACTGTTACTAGGAGGATGAGCCTAGTTTTTGGCCTCAGTTATACCTTTTCAGTGAAGGAGCATTTCCCAGTTCTTTGTGCCATTCCTGTTTCATTTTTCAGATTTAGAGCATTCTAGGGTTTATCAGTTAGTGTTCTCAAGAAATCAGAGCCATGCCACACCCATATCTATTCATAAATAGGAAGAGGGAGGGATAGTGAGACCAGGAGAGACACAGAAAACGGATTTGTTTGAAGAAATTAGCTTTTGCAATTTATAAGGACTGTCAAGCTTGAATGATCAAGGCAGTCTACACTAATCTTGAGTCTGAAGGGAGTCTGCAGCTGAATTTTCTCTTTATAAGGCTGCAGACTTTGCTCTTAAGACTTCCAATTAACTGTGTGATTTTTTACATAATGAAGTTTAATCTGACTGACTCAAACTGTGCTGACTTAAATGCTAATCTCATTACAAAATACCTTCATAGCAACATCAAGCCTGGTGTTGCACTAAAACTAGGAACCAGAGCCAAGCCAAGTGACACATTAAATTATCACATAGGAGTATGGATTTTAGAGGATGAGCTAAAATGAAAGCTTAGGGAGAAAAATATGTTTTGTTTATGCTGAATGTCTAAAATTACTGTATTTTATCCCACTTCAATCCCACTAACAAAGTGAAATGAAGATATTTAACTGTTGTCATCTGAATTTATAGGAGTAGCCTATCTAAGTTATCTGCTATTTTCCATGTTTTTAAATTTATATCCATGGATTTGTCACAGAACATCATATAAGTTAAGCCTAGTAAATTCCTGTTTTGGAAGGAATCACAAAAGTGGTTATTCTAACTTGATAGAACTTTTCTGACTTTTTAGGTACAGGAATACATGTCTCACCCCAAAAGGCTAAATGTTTCTAGGTGCTAGCTTTGATGTATCCCTGAGGGCAGACAGCATTTACTGCATGGTGTAGAATCTAGTGAAAGTTCAACTCTAAACCTGTGATCAATAGCTCAGGTGAATACAAGGTGTTATGAGGTCAAAGTAGAGATCTTACATAGCCTAGAGAGACTGGGAAGGTTCATCTAAGCAAGTCACATGTGCTGTACCTACAGAATAAATGAGAGTAAGCAAGGTAAGATGGAGAAGAGGGAAAAGAGTAGGAACAATGAAAGGAAGAAGTCTGGAAGTTATGATTTAAATATCCAACATTGCTTTGGGTGGTTGTGATGGTAGAAAAGGATCTACTGATCAGCTGAGAGAAGTGTCATTTGTTCATAGAGAGGAATCTTCCTGTTAAGAACTGTGAAAATCTATCAAAGTATTTAATCAGAAGAGATAGGACTAGATTTTCATCTTGCAATGTATACTGTGAAAGAGAATTGTTGGGAGAGGAGGGCATTTTATCAGAGAAGCAGGGAGATGATTTGAGAGGAGGTTTCAGTAGTCTGTAATAAAAGATAACCATGTCTAGGATGGTGATGTTTGTGATTAATTTAGAAAACATAGGATGTATGGAATTGACTTTCTAGATTAGTTGTGCATTGTGAGAAAATGGCCCAATGGAATGAAACTTGAGCCTGAATCCTTTTACTAATATGAGGGACTGGACCAAAATGGGTAGGAAGAAAAGCAGACTGAAATTACAAATTTCATTTGGAATCCATTGTACTTTTTTTTTTACTGCCTGTAGAATATTCTAGGGAAGATCATTATTTATCCTTAGAATGAGAGTTCTGTAGATTAAATACACAAATACTTAACTAGAATTTTTAAGTGGAAATCTAAGCCATTTGACTGCATTAGTTTTTCTGAAGGAGTGAATGTAGAATAAAGAGGAGAATATTTAGACAAATAACTGAGGAACATCAACATGAAAGGGACAGACAGGGCAAAAACAAGTTATAATTCCTTAGTATTGTCATTTGGATAGGTAACAAAAAAGCTGATATATTTTTTTGTCATAGAAGCAAATAAAGAAGACAGTGCAAAGGACAGAATGCAGGAACATGTGGAAAGAAGTGTTTAAAAAAGTCATTAAGAATTAAATAGATTCTACCTATGGATTTAGAGGCCAGATATTATAGTTATTGTGATGATAATGATAATGAAATCAGATATTACAGAATGCCTAAAAGACTATGTATCACAAAATACGTTCTTTTCACTTGGATTTTAAAAAAGTAATCATTTTTCTTTAAAGATACTGGAAACGGATTATGATGGGAAGGAACCAAACTATCATCTCAGAGTTCCTCCTCCTGGGCCTGCCCATCCAGCCAGAACATCAACACCTGTTCTATGCCCTGTTCCTGACAATGTACCTCGTCACTGTTCTGGGAAATGGCCTCATCACTGTCCTCATCCGACTGGACTCTCATCTCCACACACCCATGTATTGGTTCCTCACCAATCTGTCTTTCTCTGACCTCTGCTTCTCCTCTGTCACAATGCCCGAACTGTTGAAGAATATGCAGAGCCAAGTCCCAGCCATACCTTATGCAGGCTGCCTGACACAGATGTATTTCTTTCTGTTTTTTGCAGACCTGGAAAGTTTTCTCCTTGTGGCTATGGCCTATGACCGCTATGTGGCCATCTGTTTCCCCCTTCACTACACCAGCATCATGAGCCCCAAGCTGTGTGTGGGTCTGGTGGTGCTGTCCTGGGTGCTGACCATGTCCCATGCCATGGTACACACTCTTCTTGTGACCAGATTGGCTTTCTGTGAGAACAATGTGATCCCCCACTTCTTCTGTGATTTGTCAGCTCTTGTGAAGCTGGCCTGCTCTGACACTCATGTCAATGAGCTGGTGATATTTATCATGGGTGGGCTTGTTGTTGTCATCCCGTTCCTACTTATTACAGTGTCCTATGCACGGATCATTTCCTCCATCCTCAAGGTCCCTTCCTCTCGTGGCATTCACAAGGTGCTCTCTACCTGTGGTTCCCATCTGTCTGTGGTATCACTGTTCTATGGGACAATTATTGGCCTTTACTTATGTCCATCAGCTGATAACTCTACCTTGAAGGAGACTGTCATGGCAATGATGTACACGGTGGTGACCCCCATGCTGAACCCCTTCATCTACAGCCTCAGGAACAGAGATATGAAAGGAGCCCTGGGAAGAATTCTTAGTAGGAAGATCCCCAGGAAGAATTCTTTGTAGGAAGATTCCATTCTTTCTATGATGGAATTTTTTATATAATTCTATTCAGCTAAGTGTATTGATATTAATATTGAATGTTTTTCCTGATTTTCAATTACCATGGAGACCCTGAAAGGTACAATTCATAATTATGAAATATCTAGAGGAAAGGTGTTTTAGCTGAGTAGTTGAACTAAGGAACAGGATTCTTGATGAATTGGTTATACCTTCTTTTTCTTGTATAGGTTACCTTGAAAATCTGCATTGTAAGAGCCACTATTTTTATGTAATCTCTATTTCTTTTAAGTGTCTTAGTACCTGTCATTTAATCTAGATCACTGTTTGTTCTATGGTATAACTTTTAAGTGTCTCAGTACCTGTCATTTAATCTAGATCACTGTTTGTTCTATGGTATAACTTTTAAGCAATTCTATATAGTCATAGGTTGATACTCAATGACATCCAAGCATCCATCTCCCAACTTTTTGCTGATGTCTCCTATATAGGCCCTCATAAAGTCAATTTCCCATCACTTTATTTGTGCTTCCCTGAATCACCCTGACTTACATTTATATCTAGAAAATCTTTTCTGAGTTGCCTAACCCTCAGTAAAAATTTTAACCCAGTTGTTTTTTGTTTTTGTTTTTGTTTTTTTGCAAAAAAGAAACTGATTCAGAAAAAAAGAGGAAAGCAGAGAAAGACTTGAAAATTTAAAAGGCTGTTTTCTATTATAGGTTAACCTGGTGGCCTTTAAAAATGTAAAGATTCTATTACTGGATGAATGCATAAACAAATTGTAGTATTTACACCCAATTAAGCATCATTCACTATTTACAAAAGAAAGAGCAGTATTATTTGTGACTACAGGGACAAATATTTCCTTTTTGTGATGATATATGTGTGAAATTTTATTTATACTCATTGCTTATTAACCTTGAATATAATACTCATCATATAATCAGCCTATTAATAAAGGAATAAGCTATTTCTGAAAATTATTTAAAGGCAAGACATTTCTATTTCTGAGTTTCATGTAATTCATATAGTTCTTTGTAGTTAAAGGTATTTATTTTGGGCAAATGTCTGTATCTGAATTCTTTTATCTAAGATCAGAGATGAACATCTTTTATTCAATAAATATGACATACAGGTAATATATTTAAAACTATATATCATAATTAATGGAAGCATTAATCAATTAAAAATAACCCAAAACAGAATGCAAACATTGTATGAATGTTATTTTTTTGATCTAATCTGCTGTTCTTTTCCTTTTGATTGGGGAATTGAGTCCATTAATGTTTGGGGTTATGCTAGAGAGATGTATCATGTTTCTTGCCAGTTTCTTGATTTCCTGTATTTTGTTTCTTTCCTCTTGCTGCATTTGCTAACTTGGTCTTCTAGTGATTTTTGTCTGATGTGTTTCTTTGATTTTAATTATTTTCTTCAGATTGTATTTTTCCCTTGAGTATTCTTTGTAATGCTGGTTTAGTACCTCATGAATTCCTTTAATTTTTGTTTGTCATGGAAGGTTTTAGTTTCACCATCTAATGAAATGATAGCTTCACTGGGTAGATAAGCTTGGGTTGGCAGTTGTTGATCTTCAGTGCTGGAATTATACAATTCCAGGCTCTCCTTGCATTCAGAGTTTGAAATGATGATAGAATTGGACAATAAAATAAAAGAGGAGATGCAAAAACAATTCAAGAGCAAATGAAGAAATGATAGAAATAACAGAGAAAAAACCCAGGACTCCCAGAAAGATACAGAGAGAAAAATAGAATATACACCTCATTAAAAGGTGAAATGAACATTATGAGAAGTGATCTTGGAAGCATAAAAGGTTCAATTTTCACAATGTAAACTACAGTGGAATCCGTAGGTAATAGAATAAGTGAAATGGGAAAGAGAATTTCAGAGGATAGAACGGAGGAGCTAAATCAAAAATCAAAATTATCTAAAAAGCACTCAAAACCTTCCAAAGAGAAGTCCAGGAATTGGCAGACTCAACTAAGAAATCCAACCTATGCATAACTGAGATTGATTAGGGGGAAGAATTTAATAGTAAAGGCATTGAAAAACTATTCGGTAAAGTAATAGCTGGAAACTTCCCCACTCTTTTTGCTGGTCCTGGGCCTTGAACTCAGGGCATAGGTTCTATCCCTGAGTTTCTCTGTGCTCAAGGCTAGTACTCTACTACTTGAGCAACAGTACCATTTGTGCCACAGTGCCATTTCTGCCCTTTTCTGCTTATGTGGTGCTGAGGAATCAAGCCCAAGGCTTCATGCATGCTAAGCAAGCACTCTACCACTAAGCCATATTCCCAGCCCATTCCCCACTCTTAAAGAGAGAAAATCTCACCTGTCTAACAGAAGCATATAGAACCCCCAATAGATGGGATTCTATAAGAAACACTTCTAGACAGATCATAATAAAAACATTAGATGTGAATAGCAAGAAACTGATTTTAATTGCTACAAAGTCAAAGAAGAAGCTATATTACAATAGAAAGAAAATCAGAATCACTGCAGACCTCTCCACACTAATCCAGTTGTTATAATGTTATATTTTGGGTTTATATGGGAATTATCTAATCCTGGGAACTTAATTTTTATTCTCCAGTAATGGGGAAAGAATGAGAAGCTAACAAAATGCTCAGTTTTTAAGGGTCTCTGTGATCTGCTTGGTGTTTTGGACTTCACATATGTAGTTTATACCTATAAGATTTTTTTCTCCCCTCATGAGAAACCCAGAAGGAAAGGGGACACTATCAATGCTTTACTGCCTAAAAATGGAGATCAACAACTTACCACATCAGACAGTGTTAAGAATTGAGCTTTGGGAGCTTCTTATTCTAGTTTCCTGTCATTTCTCTCACCTCAGAGAGAAATGAAATAGCCACATATTTGAATGCTTACAATCACTGTTACATGAAGGAGATTTCAGCCATGATCTATTCTTCTTCCCAACTGATGGCATTCAAGCCCATATTTCATCTTGTCATGTATTGTACAGACCCCCTAAATCTCCACTCACAGTCCAGACCTCCTCTAGAGACCCCTGTTCTTCTCATCTGCCTAGTGGACCTTTTTGTGTGAATCTCTGTGGACAATGCAATACAACACACACTATCTGGAATTCTATGACCCACCCATGTTTTCTCTTTGTCTTTTGTTCCATATCTTATTTTATGATGCTGCCTTACATATAGTTACTTGATATAAATTTTTTTCATCAGTCATTCTTGACTTTAGATGAAATGATTTGTTCCCCCCCTTTAGTTGGATATTGCTTGTACGTTTGTTATACATACATACATACCGTATTTTTTTGAGGTATGTATCTTTCCGGACTCATTGGATAAGTTTATGTAGTAAGTGACCTATGTAAGTGATCACTTTGCATCCTGTACTTCCTCTCTAATGACATCTGTGACATTTGTCTAGAAGTCATCTCTGCCTTCTAGATTGGATACTGTTTGACATCACAAATTATGCCTACCTTGACCCCTGTTTTCCCACATCACAGGGCCTAGTGTCATACACATAGTTATTACCCAATTAACCTTTTTCAAAGGACTATATTGCTTAACCTATGGATAAAAATCTCTTATAACATCAGCCAGGCACTGGTGGCTCATGCCTATATCCCTGGCTACTCAGGAGGCTGAAATCTAAGAATTGAGGTTCAAAGCCAGCTTGAGGAGGAAAAACTGTGAGACTCTTATCTCCAACTAATCACAAGAAAACCTGGAAGTGGAGCTGTGGCTTAAGTGGTAGAGTGCTATCTTTGAGTAAAAGAAGCTCAGGGACAGCCACAGCACCCTCACCCCCAGAGTTGAATCTCTAGGACTAGAAAAAAAATTCTTGTACATCAAGAAACAATTAATCAATTAGTACATCACAAACTATCTCTGAGCTTAAAGTCTAGCCAGGGAGAAAAGATCAATACATATGGATGCAATTAGTTATTGGATAACAAGACAATGTAATCAAGAAGCACAACATTCGATTCTGATAACTGTTTTAGGTGACATACTGTAGAAGACAAAGAAGAGGAATAGTAGATAGGCATTCAAGATCAAGGTACACTTTCCAGAGAATATTAGACTTGGAGTAGAGCCAGAATTCTGTCTCTGGGTGTGATTTATTTATAAATGTGACCTAGGATGGTGCGACATTAGGAGAGAGGGAAAATAGAGGGTTTAGTATTAATGAGCTTTGGGACCCAGAGATCCCAGCTGTCAGGGCACTGGAGAAGAAAGGAGTCAGAAGACAATAGTAAAGGCTCCAGCTGGAGAGGCAAAGTGTGGAAGTGGGAGACAGGAAGCAGGTTTCAAAGTCCTACTCAGACCATCTGGGTAAGCCGGGGAGGGGGGAGTTTTTGAACAGTCATTCTACAATCCCCTACCACAGATACTAGTATTCTGTAGTTCTATCACACAATTGTCAGAAAATGGTTTAAAAGTTACTAGCCTTACTGTTTTCCACTGCTGATACAGTGACCCATCTCTCCAAATTGGGAATGTAATGTAATTGGGAAGCACCACTCGGTTAATAGGAATGAATAGATTGTATGCTTGTAGAATACTTTATACTTTTCAAAGTGTTAGCATCCTAAACCCATAGTTTTGCAATGTCTATAAAAGTCACTGAAGTTGGAGTGCAGATGAATCTAGTCTTTTTCTTTTTCTTTTCCTTCCTTTCTTCCTTCCTTCCTTCCTTCCTTCCTTCCTTTCTTTCTTTCTTTCTTTCTTTCTTTCTTTCTTTCTTTCTTTCTTTCTTTCTTTCCTTCCTTCTTTCTTTCTTTTCTTTTCTTTTGCCAGACCTGGGGCTTGAACTCAGAGCCTGGACACTGTCTCTGACCTTCTGTTTTGCTCAAGGCTAGCACTCTACCTCTTGAGCCACAGCACCACTTTTGGCTTTTTCTGTTTATGTGGTGCTGAAGAATCGAACCCAGGGCTTCATATATGCTAGGTGAGCACTCTACCACTTAGCTACCTTCCCAGACCTGAATCCAGCCATTTTCATCAGGCTGAAAGCCAGTAGATGATAGTGATAGGTTAGTCTGACTCATAAGATCCACGGAATATTTTATCTGGGGGACTGGTTAATAGTGAATTTTCAAGATACCATCTTTGGAGCCCTTTTCTATGTAGCTAGTTTTCTTTACCTACCAATGTTCTGTCCTAATATTAATGTATTTTTACTAAGGAGAGATTCAACTACTAACCACAGTGGAAGTTCCTACTTTTAGTGCTTTTTCACATTTCCTCTTTTAACACTAAGTTGCTGGTCTCTTTGGTAGGTAGAAATCAGGGTCGAGGTATTTGGGAAAACACTGTAACCATATCACAGAACCTGATGATGATGACTGTGAGTCTTTCCAATACCACTGCACACTGTCTTAATACATAATACATTTTTTTCTTTCTTATAGCATGATAAGATTAGTATTGGTATATTCCCATTACAATTAAGAAAGAGCTTAGAGTAAGAAAGCTAATAGGAGTGGAGCCAAGTATAGGGAACCAGCACTGAAGTGCTATGAATGCCACTATGGAATCCTCCCAGCCTCAGCTCCTTTCCTTAATAATCCCTAGAACAGCTCTCTCAATTCCATTCCTTCCTAATACTTCTCTAACTAGTAACTGAGTCATGTAGGCTTAGGAGGGAAGAGGGATATGATTTTCATGTAACTGAGATAGTATTCATCTAGACAACAGGAAAAAGTAGAGGTGCCATTTTCCCATTACTCCCATGGTCAAAAATTGGATTTAGTGCTTTAGGAAGGTTTAAGATTGCCTTAAGATGGTAAGTCACCAACTGGCCCAACATGTCTACAGTTGGAGCAGCTCCTGGGTTCTGAATAGCCCCCAGAATGAGGCAACATAGGACATGGGTTAAATCAGTTTTCCCTAGTCATCTCCTTTCCCACATCCACTAAGACAGGTGGCTGGAGAAACATGACACGGTAAGTGGATAATAAATAGGTGGAATTCTCCTTGGGACAGGAGTGATATACACAGACTGACAAGAAAGCAGGTGAGGATAACAGATTTAGGCAGCGCAGAGAACTGCCAAATGCTCAGAGCTGTAATCCTTTGTTTTGTAATTCCTCACTGCTCCCTGATTCACTGTCTCTATAGCCTCCAATGGCAGGCTAACATATATTACATAGTTCCAGAACTCTTCTGGACCAAACCAAAACAGGGCTTAGTTCTGTGGTGAGATCTTTGGCAAGTTACTTGACAAATATAAAATATATTTATCTAATAAAAAGAAGATACTAGTATCTATCTCAGGTCATTATGATATATAAATCAGTTCACAGATATTAAGCTTATATCTCAGTATTTGGCAAGAATAATCTCTGGTAAGATGTGTGGTCTTGTCATCAGTACCATCAGCATCAGCATCATCATTACTATCACCATCACCACCTTCATGGTTGTCATCATTCCTGAGTGACAAGAATGGTGACTGGCTCTCAAATGAGATATTAATTGCATCTGTAAGCTAGAGACATACAAAAGTGGTTTCTAGACTGCCTTATGTCTGATCATCCTTATCTGATTCATGAGTAGACAGAACATCCTTATGGAAGCCTGTAATATTGTTGAATTTAATCCATAAGTTCATATGCATATTATGCTTTTCTCTATGTAAATATTTATTTATTTACTTGGGAAAAGATATACAAAATATTAAAATGAACTCTTAGGATCCTTGGGTTTTATGTAGTTAAGAAAATATTTTTTAAAAGTTCTGCAGTATAGCTGGGCACCTGTGGCTCACGCCTATAATCCTAGCTACTCATGAGACTGAGATCTGAGGGTTGCAGTTCAAATCAGCCCAGGCAGGAAAGTCCATGAGATTCTTATCTCCAACAAACCACCAGAAAACCGGAAGTAGCACTATGGTTCAAGTGGTAGAGCACAAGCCTTGAGCTGAAGAGCTGAGGGACAGTGCCCAGGCCTAGAGTTCAATCTCCAAGACCGACCAAAAAAAAAAAAGTTCTGCAGTATATACGTGTGTCTATTCATATACTCACTTACATAATTTTAATTTTAAAAGGTTCCATAAAGCAACATGAAAAGAGGAAACCGAACTGTCATCACAGAGTTTCTCCTCTTGGGTTTACCTGTTGATCCAAATCACCAAGACCTACTCTACGTCTTGTTCCTGGTTATGTATCTTACCACTGTCCTTGGGAACCTCATCATCATCATCCTCATTGGATTGGACTCCCATCTCCACACACCCATGTACTTATTTCTCAGTAACTTGTCCTTCTCTGACCTCTGCTTCTCCTCTGTGACCATTCCTAAAATGTTGCAGAACATGCAGAGCCAAGTCCCAGCCATCCCTTATGCAGGCTGCCTGACACAGATGTATTTCTTTCTGCTATTTGCAGACCTTGAGAGCTTCCTCCTTGTGGCCATGGCCTATGACCGCTATGTGGCCATCTGCTTCCCCCTGCACTACACCAGCATCATGAGCCCTAAACTTTGTCTCTGCCTGGTGTCACTGTCCTGGGTGTTGACTACCATCATCTCTTCGCTGCATACACTGCTCATGGCTCGGCTATCTTTCTGTGCTGATAATGTGATCCCCCATTTTTTCTGTGACATGTCAGCTCTGCTGAAGTTGGCCTGTTCTGACATCCAGATAAATGAAATAATGATATTTATATTGGGAGGGCTTGTCATTATTGTTCCATTCCTGTTGATCTTTTTATCCTATGCACACATTGTGTCTTCTATCCTAAAGGTCCCCTCTGCCAGAGGCATCCGCAAAGCCTTCTCCACCTGTGGCTCCCACCTTTCTGTAGTGTCTCTCTTCTATGGGACAATCATTGGTCTCTACTTGTGTCCTTCAACGAATAATTCTACTGTCAAGGAAACTGTCATGGCTGTGATGTACACAGTGGTGACTCCTATGCTCAACCCCTTTATTTACAGTCTCAGGAACCAAGACATAAAGGGAGCATTAGGAAGAGTCTTTTCAAAGCACATAATTCACTTTTCTCTACAATAATGACTCTAAAAATTAATGTTTTACAACCAGGGGCATAATATTGAAGCTGAGCAGTATTTTGAATAGTAGAGTAACCCTTAAGCTTTGTGCCACTATTGCAGCACCAGTTCAAGGGAAGAATCTATCATGCCTCTTGAGTTTGTCACCACAATTTAGGTGAGATGTAACTCAAAGCCTGATATATCATGAGTACTCCTTGATTATTATTAAAAGTTGAATAATACAATGCTAGCCTTCATGTTTATGGCATTCAGAGGCTGTAAAGTACTTTGTAATTCTGTCCCCAAATTCAAATTCCTCAGCTGCTTCAGGGTGTTGCTTCTAAAAATATATCTATTCACTGTCTTTCAATTTATTATGCACATGCTCTTGAATTTTGTTTTTGCTTTCCAGGACCATTTTCCTCTTTCAACCCATTCAGTTCCTAGTTTTCTTGTCATGCCTTGACTATTCTTTTGCCTAATAATCCTATTCTAAAATTATCTCTTCTTCTCAACTAAACATACCAAATTATTTGTTAATTCATAATGAATTATTTATTTTTTTATAAGATTTATATTTGCATATGAACTCCTTTGTTGAATTAAAATTGTCTAATCTAGAATTGTCCATAGAATTCTGCTATACATTGCTCAATTTACAGAAAGTAAAATAGTGGCCCTAAGTATAGCATAATACAATATTAATAGTGACAGGACTGAAACTTATTTGCAATTCCTAGATATGTGTTTTTGTTCCCCTGGAATATATACTGAAACAATTTAATAATTTCATTTCTTACCAAGTATGTTATAATTGTCATGAATAAGGTACCTCCTAATCTCTACAATGCCTAGTTTAGTGCTTTGTATACTTACTCTGGATGGAAAGTAAAGTTATTGATTTGACTTGAATGTATTTTTTATCAGCTTTTTTTTAAATTGTGAAAATACTGTTTGAGGGGTTACAATTACATGGGCAAGATAATGAATACATTTCTTATCAAGCATTGTAGCCTCCTCCTTTGTTTCCCCTTCCCATCCCTTCCCATTCCCCCCACTCCTGCCCCCCTACCCAGTCCTCCCCACCCTCCCACCAAAATTGTAAAGTTCATTTTTGAATGTATTTTTATGTTTCCTAAATGATATTCTAAAACCACTTTTAAGAAGAAGTCTTACTAACAATGCTAATGTTCATTTTATTTCTCATTAAAAATTATTGACTACTAAAGAGGGACTTATTTGAAAGCATCCAACCAAATGAATAAATAATAAAGTAGAATGTAAAGTTTTCACATAGTCCTGACAGTTAAAAGTTGGGGAATGAGCTGGATTCTGGTGGCACACATCTGTAATGCTAACTATTCAAGAGGCTGAGATCTGAAAGCCAGCCTGGGCAGACAAATCTGTGAGACTTATTTCCAATTAACCAGCTAATTGTTGGAAGTGGAGTAAAAAAAACCCAAATGAGACCCTAAAGCCCTGAGTTCCACTCTAGTATTGCCACATGCAAAAAAAGAAAAATGGAAGAAGAGAAAAAAAGAAAGGATTAACCACTATGAAAGTAGAAAACATCAATGGAGTTAAAAAAAAAACAAACACCCACAATATTAATAGCAACTAAAGTAAATGGAACAAATGTATTTGAAACAAAAGTGAATAAAAAGCATAAGTAAAGAGTTACATGGGTAAAATGGAATCAAATGAACAGCAAAAGAGGCAATTTAAGAATTAAAGTGAGGCCGGGCACTGGTGGCTCACGCCTGTAATCCTAGCTACTCAGGATCTGAGGATCGAGGTTCAAAGCCAAACTGGGCAGGAAAGTCTGTGAGACTCTTCTCTTCAATTAACCACCAGAAAACCGGAAGTGGCCCGTTGGCTCAAGAGGTAGAGTGCTCGCCTTGAGCTGAAGAGCTGAGGGACAGTGCCCAGGCCCAGAGTTCAAGCCCCACAACCGTATTAAAAAAAAAAAAAAGAATTAAAGTGAGATCAAATTTGATCAGTATCAGTGCATGTATAATATATGCATTGAAATATTATAGTTAACCCTATTAACATAGGCCTATGCATGCTAATAAAAAGGAAGTGACTAATGATAAAGATCAAAGGGAAAATACAGACATAATTTGGTTAGGAACTCACATACTATTAAAAGTTGTTCAATAAAACAAAAAAAGATTGAATAGATTACATATCATTATTAGACTTAGGGCTTTGGATATCTATTCCATTTTTTTTTCTCCCTGGAACATTGAGAATATTAGTGTCTTCCTTGTTAAATCAATCTTCCATTTGACTGAGACATATGCATGGAGCACTTAGGACTGTGCTTGCTATACTAAGTGTTAGCTTTTATTATTTTTATGACAAAAATATCCTTTACATCCTTTTATAGAGAGTGATCATAAAATGTTTAAAATATTTATTAACATTTATAGGCAGGAGTTCATTAATCCATAAATACTAGTCTAAGATTCTATACTAGGAAGTTAAGAATGAGGGTGTTTTATTCGTAGTGCTATGACTAAATCTCTTAGATGTCTTCTTTCATGTAAAAAGGAAATTGGAAGCTGGGTGCCAGTGGCTCACACCTGTAATCTTAACTATTCAGGAGGCTGAGATCTAAGGATCACGGTTCAAAGCCAGCCCAGGCTGGAAAAGCCGTGAGACTCTTATCTCCAATAAACCACCAGAAAACTGGCACTGGTGCTGTGGCTCAAGTGATAGAGTGCTTGCCTTGAGCTGAAGAGCTGAGGGACAGCGTCCAGGCCCAGAGTTCAAGCCCCATGACTGACAAAAAAAAGGAAATTGGAGATTTCCACATATAAAATTATAATATTTATGTTTCACAATGGGGTAGGGGAAAGATAGGAAGAAAGAGATTTAATAATTGACTCTGGATAGAAGTGGAAGTTGATTTGGGTGGATGAAGAATTTTATTTTTTGTTTTTGCCAGTCTTGGGCTTTGAACTCTGGGCCTGGACACTGTCCTTGAGCTTTTGCTCAAGGCTAGCATTCTACCACTTGAGCCACAATACCACCTCCGTTTTTTTCTGTTTACGTGGCACTGAGGAATTGAACCCAGGGCTTCATGCATTCTAGGCAAGGACTCTACCCTAAGCCATATTTCCAGCCTGGATGAAGAATTTGATCTTTCTCCCCTTTTGAATTCCTACAATGATAAATGGTAGATATAGAACAAAAAGAAAAAGTTTAAGCCACTGTAAAAATACCCAAATCTTTAGTGAAGTAAAGTGCATCTAGCAAAGTCACCTTCAAATCCTCTTTCAACTCTACTGCTGCTCAGGCTTCCTCTCTACCTCCTGCTGGCAGGTGGTACACTCTTCTTTCCCTCTCCACAAAGACTCCTTCCTTATCTTCATTCTTTCCCCCTTTTTATTCTCCCCAAATTTAAAAGCATTATTTCAAGCATTCAGGAGTACAGCAGTAGTGCTCTGTGATGGGCTAGGGAGCGGGAAGAAGCAGGGGAAGGAAAGGGAAGGGAGAGAGAAGAGGCAGGGAGAGGTAGGTTTGGTTACTATTGATGATGAAATGTCGGTTAACACAGATCAGCCTTTATACCGCTTGGGGGGCAGCACTGCACCTGAACCCCCTTTTTAGGGCGCCTTTCACCTCTTTGTTTCTAAGGCTATAGATGAAAGGGTTCAAGGTCGGTGTGACCACCGCATAGACCACGCTGGCCAAACGGTCGTAGCGTGCGGAATAGGCAGAAGATGGCCGGAAATAGACCGAGAGGACAGAGCCAAAGAAAAGTGACACCACCACCAGATGGGCTCCACAAGTGGAGAAGGCCCGGCGCCGGCCCCCCGCCGACCTCACACCCAGCACCGCCACGAGGATGCGCGCATAGGAGAGGGACACCAGGAGCAATGGGGTCAGCACCACAGCCAGGCCTTCGGAGAAGATGGCAGTCTCTGCAGTGGACGTGTCCGAGGTCGCCAAGCTCAGCATCACTGTCATGTCACAGAAGAAGTGGTGCACCGGGGCGCAGCTGGGGTAGGAGAGCGCAGAGATGAGCAGTGTGTGGAGGAGAGAGTGAAGGTGGGCCACGGCCCAGGACACCACCACCAGCACTGCGCAGCGCCAGGGTGTCATCACTGCACCGTAGTGCAGTGGCCGGCAGACAGCCACCGCACGGTCATAAGACATGGCTGCCAAGAGGTAGCTCTCGGTGATACCCAGAGCCACAAAGAAGTACATCTGGGCAAAGCATGCCTGGAAGGACACCGCCTGGCCGGGGTGGAGCAGGATGGCCAGCAGTCGGGGGACGGTGACTGTAGTAAAGCAGACATCCACAAGGCTCAAGTGACCCAAGAAGTAATACATGGGGGCACTCAAAGCACCATCAGACCTCACCAGCACCACCATGCTCAGGTTGCCCAGGGCATTGAGCAGGTAGACACTGAGGAAGAGCAGGAACAACAGTGGGTGAGAGTCTGGACCATCCATCAAGCCCAGGAGGAGGAACTCCGGGTGGGATGTGAAGTTGACCAGAGCCATAGGATGCCAGGTGGACCCTGAGGGGAAGAGACGGGACAGTCCAAGTTTTGGGAGCTCCAGGTAAACTTCCTGTACAATGAAGTTCCACGTATACATTGTTGTATGTCCACAGAGATAATATAAATGTCTGCTTGCTGAAATGCAGTGAAAATCACATTGCTCATCCAATGCTCTCAATTTTATAAAGAAACTGAATTTCAGAAAATAGGTAGAGGGTAAATCCCAAGTTAGGGTCTATCAAACTATTGCCGCTAAGGTAATGTGATCTCCCTGATCTTCTACTTCTTTAATGAAGAAAATACTAGTATCTCTCAGTGAAGTCAGTCATGAGGATAAAATAGATGGAAGGGTAATAATGATCAAAATATTCAGTATACTATCATCATCTTTAGTTGTTTAATCAAACTGGGGCAGAGGTAGCAACCAGACCATCCAAATTGTAGTCTAAAATATCTTCAGAAAACCTTACTGCATTAGCTATTCATTTTCCCCGCACATTGAATGCTACATCAGAAACTGACAAATGTGTTCTGTAACCAGACATGTTTTAAATATTAGTTTTGGGGTTATATAGTCTCTCTTGCATCTACATGGTTCTGCCATTGTAGGGCAAAAACAGCCATCCACAACATGTAAATGAATGGGCATGGCTATGTTTTAATAAAGTTTTGTAACAAAGTAAGTGGTGGGCTGGATTGAACCATGGGACATGAGTTGCTGCTCTTGTACTAGACACTGCGAAAGACAAGTAAATAAACCAGTCTTGGCTTTTTGCCCTCAGTTTGGTGTGAAATATCTTGCAGAGCTATTAGTACTTTCTAATTTTATAAACCAAGTGGTAATGAATTATTCTTCCTGGAGGAATAGAGAAATGGGACCTGAACCAGGTCTTGAGAATGAATAGGATTTCCTCAGATAGACATACTCTTCCATAGGCAGAAAGAGCTTTCTAGACAGTGAGGAGCGATTGTGTGGGGTTCTTGGTACAAGAAGGGTGGAGTCAAGAGGCTGAAGCATCTGCATAAAACATGGGAAAAGGCTTATGTGTGATCTGACCTCAGTACCCAAAACAGCCGGAAAGAACACTTCTGAATTTCCTGATTAACAAAGTGATTTTCATGATCTCAGAAATAATACATTCATTTTTGTCTTCACTTCAATCTCTTCCTTAAAATACCATATCCCTTTCTCCCACTTCTCCAAAGTCTCTAAAAATGTTTTTATTGTTAAAATAATCTGCCCACTGTTTGCCAAGAGGGAGAGTCAGCCTTTGATGAAAGCCCAGCGAATGAATGGACAATAGTGAGCTGCCTTGCACTGCCATGTCCAGTGGTCTGACCACAGAATGTGTCCACTAAGATTTGTGGAATGAGGCTATTTGAAGAGCAATGGTTGATAAAAGATGTAAAGGAGAGGGAATGCTGGGCAAGGTTCAGTGAACACACCTGTGAACTTCCAGGACAATCCCAGAGTAAATCTGAATGCTTCCACATCTCTTTATCAGGGTTGCCTGTGAACTTTCCCAGGTAACAGAACTTTACCTGTGAACTAACCTGCTAGACTCATGCAAATAGAGCCAAGGTATTGGCAGCCCTCCAATCCGTCCTTTTTGACGGTTCAAATTCTCCTTTGTAGAGTCCGTGACATTCATTTCCCAACTTTTCCTTTAGGCAGGTACACGATGCTGGGGAAAGGGCATGTTTTTGAAGTTAGAGCACCTTGGTTCTTATCCTGAATGACTATAAATATGGAGCCATTTTCACTTAATATCTCTCTCTTTATTTGTAAAAATTGTTGATTCCTCTCTTAAGCAGAGAGGTCCAGTCAAGGTTAAGTGAGGTAATGTATGCAAAAGGATTTGGTACAGAATAGATGCCAATAGGTTTTTACTACCTTTTCTCTCAAAGTCTGATGGCTTTTTTTTCTGCTCCCTCATGGCTTCTTGAGATAAACCAGTCCAGAACTGAAGGGCTATAGTTGGTTTTTCTTAATTGCAGCTGAAACTTTCTGTCTTATAAGTTCTCCAAATAGCTTCAGTTTGGGGAAACAAAGTTAACATTTGGCAAGTCTGCTTTTTCTGAAGCCTTTGACTTAGTGATTAGATGCATCTCTTCAAGGTCTACTAAGTATTGTTTTTCTCCAACCCAAACAACTCTTCTGCTTTAGAACCTTCTTTTTTAGTATATGTTAGTCCTGGGGATTGAACTCAGGGAGCTTTTATGCTTTCTACCACTTGAGCCACAGCTCCACTCCTGGCTTTTTTGATGGTTAATTGGATCCTCAGAGCTCATCTCAGATCCTCAGAGTAGCTAGGATTAGAGATGTGAGCTGCTAGTGCTTGGCCAAGATACTTAGTTTCTTTTTTTTTGTCAGTTGTGGAGCTTGAACTCAGGGTCTGGGCACTGTCCTTGAGCTCTTTTTGCACAAGGCTAGTGCTCTACCACTTTGATCCACAGCTCCACTTCCAGTTTTTTGAATGGTTAATTGGAGATAAGAGTTTCATGGGGACTTTTCTGCCCAGGCTGGCTCCAAATCACGATCCTCAGATCTCAGTTTCCTGAGTAGCTAGGCTTACAGGCCTGAGCCACTGGTGTCCTGCAAGACCCTTTCTTATATGACTTAACTTACATATTTCTTTCATTCTGTCACCCTTTATTTTATTCATGCTTTCTTAAAAGAAATTGGACAACGTGGTCTTGCTAAGGTTGGGCTACATGGGGTTACTTGGGATAGTAGAACGGCTCAGCCATATAACCCATGCTTGTTTATTGAATGACTGGTCCAGGTTAGGTGTTGTATTGGGGCACTTGGGGACACAGTGTTAACTCAGACATTGTCCTTGACTTCCAGTTATCAGTAGGCTAGTAAGCTCCACATTAACTTTGTGAATGAAGTAGGGGTGATTCTTTTTGCCTGGCTGATCTAGGAGAAGATGGGATACAAATTGGGTGTGGGAAAATGAGTTGAACATTACCATATATATAGATACTTGGAAGTGAAAAGGTCAGTATAGGTAACGAAGAGAGAAGGTGAAGGCACAGGAAGATGTCTTGTGTTGGGACTTTAGCTAACATGTGTCTGTTCCACTGTAATACTGTGTAGAGATGGAGATGGAGTAGAGAGAAAGACAGGACACAAGGCAAGGAGATAGCAGGGGCTGGGTTCTCTCACCTGCAGGGCAGCATGCCAGACCTTAACCCTGTCTACAGAGTATGTGGGCTGTTCTCCCTTCTGGCCAGAGATCCCCAATCTTGAGGGCAGATGTATTGCTCTCTGTTGCAGCCCGGAGACTTTGGTGTGTTCCTGTGGGCTGACAGGACAATGATAGAGAGGTAGAGAGAGAAGGAGAGAGAGAACGAGAAAGGAGAGAAGAGAGGAGGAGAGAGAGAGTGGGGTGGGGGGTGGGGAAGAAGAGCTGTGAACACTGAGAATTCCCGAGTCCCACATTGCCCATTTGGATGCTGTCCAACATGGCTCCCAGTATTCTTCTTTCATACCTTCCAAGGCTGTGTTACCCCTAGCCCAGTCTGGCTAGTCTCTTCACTGACTCTTACAGCTTTCTCACAAGCCTTTCCTGCACACAGTTTATCACCTCAAATGCTTTTCCTAACCAGATACAGTACCAAACCCTGGCTCTACTTCCTCCCAGAAGCCCCATCTTTTTCTGGATTTCTGTAGCCACTCAACTGCCTTCCTTTCTATCTCTTGTAAGCTTATTTAAACCCAGTCTTCATTTGCTGATATTAAAATGAGTTTTTATGCTGTGATGCGCTTTGAACATCACAGAATTTTTTTTTATACCACAGAATTTTTGATGTGGCAGATGTTTTTCACCTTTGGCTTTGCACAGGACTCTCCTGGCTCTTCAGAGGATGTGACATTTGAGCAGCAGCAGCTTTTTTTGTATGCTTTTTTTATTGCAAAAATCCTGTACAGAGGCTGAAGCAGCTTTTTAATCATTTACTGAACAGACAAGAGTGGTAGAGCATTTTACAGAAGCACATGCAAATGAACTTACAAGGGAAACCTTAAGAGAAGTTACTAAACTTTAAATATCTCCTTCCCAAGCTGGGAAGGTGGCTCAGTGGTAGAGTGCTTGCCTCACATGAATGAGGCCCTGGGTTCGATTCCTCGGCACCACATAAACAGAAAAAGCCAGAAATGGGGCTGTGGCTCAAGTGGTAGAGCACTAGCTTTGAGCTGAAGAGCCGAAGGACAACGCCCAGGCCCAGAGTTCAAGCCCCATGACCACCACCAACAAAAAAATCTTCCTTCCTCCCTCCTTTTCTCTCTCTCTCCCCCCACTTTTGGGATAATTAAGAGTGTGGCATAGTGGTGCATACTTCTATCCACAGCTACTTAGGAGGCCTGAGGCCAGAGCATCACTTGGGCCCAATAATTTGAGACCAGCCTGGGAAACCTAGTAAGACCCTAATCTCTAGAAAGGAAGTTGGATGTTTATACTATCCTCACAATCACTTAATAAATGTTCACAGCTCCTAACAGCTAACTACTTTCAATAATGGGGTTTGTCAGCTCTTCCTGAAATGCTTGGCACACAGGACTGGGTTCTTTGCTGCTGAATGCTGCTGCTGATGCAGAGCCCTTCCTGAGGCCCAGGTATGGCTGGTGTTGGTTTGAAATGGTTAGAGAGTATTGGTTTAAAGTAGCAAAGGGAAGCATGGATGTATAAGATCTAAAAACAGTAGCCCTTTCCTCCCAGGAAGCTTGCTGCCCTCAACCCTCGGTGGCAAGTCATCTAGTAAACATTCAGTGGCATCAAGACACAGAAATGCATGAAGATTCACACCTGTGAAAGGATACAGACATCCTGATACATCCAGACAAACAAGTAATACACTCACTATGGTCAGAACACACTCTTGCAGGCACACGTAGGCTATCAGAGTCACTAATGCACAGATATAGAAAGGTCCGCAATGTATGTCCTTAGAGAAAAATATTCATATGTTAGCATGAAGACAGAGACAGAATCCCTC